AGTGTTCAGCTAGCATAATGACTGTGTTTATCAAGGAAAAACAATGGACAAACATGGAAAGAAGTTAAATAGCATTACTATATCTATATTCCCATTTTTAGTCGGATTAATCTTGAGGGGCATCGCAGCCAGCAGAACGCTGTAGTCATTATCGACAAAATCAAGAAGTTATAACAGAGCGGATTGAATTGTCTGCCATCTCTCTGACGTAAAGGAATACAACCTTGATAGAAAAAAGCAGGACATCAAATAGTGTAGTGACAAAGTGGCTAAATATGAAAACTGACGAATGCCCTCCTTCGTTCAAATGAAATAGAATATCGGCACAAAACTGGACAACATTATTTCTTCAGATCGTCAATGTTTTGAGTACAATTATTAGTGACGTTAAGTGATATAATTCACAAGGCATGTCATAATTTTTTCCTCATGCATATGAAACTTTCGTTCAGGGAGTAGACAATGAGACCCAAAAAATTTCACCCTAATTTTATTGTGGAATAATACGCAAGATCCCTCCTAATTTTTCCGCTGAAGATTGCAATAAAAGTGCTCCTCTAGATCAGGGGTCAGTGAACCGGGGTAAACTATCCCAAGTCGAGTAAAAATGAAATTCTTGTGGGTAATGAGGACTCAATAGAAATAAATAAAATGATATAAAAAGCGCGTTCCTTGTTATGACAGAAAATTTTCTTCTGGCAACACTGCATCTGGCCAATGAAACAGACGTGTTTAGGAGACGTCACGCCATGTCGAACTCCAAATAATTTGGTTGCTAAGACGTTGTCAAGTGGTTAAACAGATATTATTTGTCAGTTGTCTATTAGCCGCCTTAACCTTATTTTTGGCACATGTTTTTGCTTTGTTTAAGTCGATTTAAGTAGTTATTTAATTTATTTCAGTAGTTCTATTTTAAGTCTAAGATTTTCAGCTATTAACCATATTCTAGTTATATGTCAGTTCGATAATTGGATTAATATATTTTTTAATATCGAAAGCATGTTCTCGCAGAAAAGTTTTAAAGGCCTCGTGGGTTACACATCTCGCATATTTAGCTGATTTTTTGAGTATGTGGATGCACTGAACAAAGAATTTCAAAGAAAAAACATCAATACAATTAAGGCCAGAGAAAAGATTTCGGCATTTGGATCAAAACTTTTATATTGGAGCCAGAAAGCAGAACAAAACAAGATGCCTGCCTTTTCCAAGTTAGTTTTGTTTTCGGAAGATTGTGAAAATATTACTTTTGACGACATGAAGGATACAATTATAAGGCAATCACCAAACTCAAAGAGCGGTTCTCTGATTGCTTTCCGGATCTTGATTCACATACTGTCAGTTGGGTTGTAGATCCCTATATATGGGATATTGCTGATGTACCAAAAAAGCATCAAGGGCTGACAGAAGCAATTCTTGAACTTCGATCCAATAATAAAGCATGTATTGAATTTGAAAACAAAGCAGATCTGTCATATTTATGTATGTCAAGAGCTGCAAAGGCTTTCAAAATTGTACGTGAGGAGGCAGTCAGAAAGTTGCTGCCTTCTGCAAGAACCTACCTTTGCGAACAAGGATTTTCCACTCTGATGAACATAAAAACAAAACAGAGAAATCGACTGGACCCCGAAGACAGTATCCAAATTGCTCAGACATCAAAATGCCCCAATTCCGATGTTATTGCAAAAATGAAATCATTTCTCCAAAAACTGAAGTGAAAAAGTTTTCAAAGAAACCTTTTGTTTCATTATAAGTATATTAATTTATTTTATCGCATTTATTTTATACTTTTATATTTATATTTGTATTCTCCGAATAAATAAATTTAACAAACCTTTCGAATTTAAATAATCTATGATTTTCTGTCATTTAAATCAAGGGGGTAACGTCAGCGTAAACAAATATATTTTGGGGTAGCAGGCAAAAGTTTCCTGACCACTGGTCTAGACAGATCTACTTTAACAGCACAAGATCTGCCGATCTTCAATTATTACCGTCACATTAATGATCGTTTCATGGACAAGAGCAAGGCATCTCACGCAAGAGAAAACTATCAACGCATTTCACTGTACCTAAGAGGCATTATTCTAAGGGCAGTCCGTTCTTCGCGAAGAGAAACATGCTACATTTGTGAACGGTGGTTGTAAATGGCGCCTTCAACAAAAGTACAGCACTTCTGGCTGATGGCATCAGAGAAACAGACATTAAAGCCGAACTATCCCGTCCATGAAAAAAGGGTACCAGGAAAGTACCTATCATGGCACTGTAAAAGAAACCGACATCTAAATGAAGGTATACTTGCTTTATTTTTAAAAGATTAGTGGTACGGCGATAATGATCAGCATTTCAAATGTCTAAGCAGAAACAAGAATATGATGATACTCAGCCATTTTTCCCACTGATCCAACTGCTAGGGAAATTTCAATGTGGTCTTGCAAAATTGGTTTAACGCTCGAAAATGATTCAGCGACTATTGCGTCACAGTGCTTAACAAAATGGAACAAAAACGATTCCATGAATAAAAGTCTCAAACATGAAACTCACCGTCGATAATGAGGTAAATAAAAAACATCGGCCACTGACATTCCACGCCATCGAAAAGCTTTGTTTCGCCATGCTGATAGAGACGACTCTTTTCATCTTCAAGCACGGTAAAGCGACCATCCCGCAGAAACCTAGGACCAAAATTTAACAATAAAGCCACCTGAATCAACTGCAAAAACAGATTTTGTCCATTGGAGCATACCATTACATGGCATTCAGTGTAAATCTAAAAGATGGGAAGGCATCAATTGTCTTAAGAGCTCAGAAGAATCCCTTAAATTCAGCTGATTCAATAAATTTGATCATCAGTCGAGTCGAGTCATCCAAGGTAACTGCATAATCACTGAATTGTCAGCAGATCTGATCTGTGCGAAACCCAGTTTGACTGTGAGAGAATGGCATTATAGAAATTATTAGCTGACTTGTCTCGCTTTAGTGCTTGGTTTTTTAATTTTCTTCTGCAATCGAATGAAACTGTAGCACAGCGCCACCAAATTATTAATTCCTTACTATGATGTCAGACGTTGCTTTGTCTTGGAGATCACAGTATGTCATTTTATAACATACAACTTTATTTAACTCTATTTTCATACCGCCAGCGGGAAAGTGAACAGGTTACGGAATAGCTGCTTAACGTCGACATCATTTCCTAAATTATTAAATCTGACTTAGCCAAAAACCTACAACTGCCGTCGACTAGGCCATATGAAGAAAGCCTTCAAACATCGAAACGAAAATAGAAGCACCATTGCACAATTTCTTCCAATTACTTTGCCTAGGATTTTCGATAACAAATATGTGAGTTTGAATGTCGAGAACAAGTGCACAAGCATAATTACAATGCCAAGGTTCATAAGGTATATTTGCAACGTCACCTTTTAACAGAAGCATATAGGAAAAGATGCTTTACTTTCTGCAGTTCATTATGGCATCCAGTTTCGTTTACAGACTAGTTCAACTAATCATTACCAGTGATGCTTTAGGAATCGCCACGTCATGTATGAAGATAAATAAATTTAGCGTGGAATCTCTAACAGAATATCTGCACACACTGTTCTGTCAGATTTGGGACGAAAAATGACTTCAACGCTACCGCCTCCATTAAAGCCGCAAAGGGCAGTCAAACGCACAACAACTATAAGTGCATTACGTATAACAAATGTGGCTGAAAAATTTTTTCCGTTCTTATTCTGCGATGATTTGAGAAGACAAAAAGCGCAAGAACACATCTCAGTCAAAAGTTGGCCATCGCATCAGCCGGAACAATGATGACCAGATATTTTTTCTTCACTGCATCCTTGAACACTGCCTTCATATTAAGAACAAACAGTCGTCTAAGTCGTCTACAGTGTAGGCTTTGCAGCTATCTTCATTTCGGTTAAAATAAATTGTATATAGCCATCATGTTGCGGATGGCCTCTCACAAAAAGTGAAGAACGGAAAAAGCTGCTATGACGTATCTCCTGTCCGTTGATATATGTTAAGTAGTTCGGCAAGACTGAGTTCTGTCGCCAATCTCTTTTCAAGTTAGCTATTGACTGGATTCTATGCGCAGCACTCGAGGGAAATGATACACTGGAGGTCAGCCCTGGATATCGCATCACTGACCTCGATTAAGAAGAGGACATCGCCCGCTTAACATCTAATCGTGTAATAATGTAAAGAATTCTTCATTCTGAGAATGAGAGGGTATTGTCTATTCGACTACGTATTACTGCTTCATAACAATGATTTCTTCCGGCATATCAGAGGAAGATAAACGGCCAACCACTTCTGCC